GTAGGTAGTAGTAGGTAGTAGGTAGGTAGTAGGTAGTATAGGTAGTACGTAATATAGGTAGTAGGTAGGTAGTAGGTAGGTAGTCGGTAGGTAGTAGGTAGGTAGTAGTAGGTAGTAGGTAGTAGGTGGTAGGTAGTAGTAGGTAGTAGTATAGTAGGTAGTAGGTAGTAGGTAGTAAGTAGTAGTAGTAGTCGTCGTCGTCTTCGTCGTCGTCGTCGTAGTAGTAGTAGGAGCAGGAGTAGGAGTAGTAGCAGTAGTAGTAGTAGTAGAGTAGTAGAGTAGTAGTATGTACGTACGTATGTACTTATGTATGCTACAAAGGCATCGGTCTTGGGTTTTCCTCATCGGTTTTCAATGTATGCTCAATGTATGACCTACCGATGTAAAGCTTTTGGTTCCAAGATTTTCGGACGGATCTCATTTGTTCATTGTTGGTTTGGATGGGCTTGGTGGTCATGATGACCACCATGAGTTCACAAGAAAGATGGACTTTGGCAAAATGTTGACAAGTTCTGGGCAACCCAAACGGTTGCGTCGGCCAGTTTTTTCAACCTTCCTCTCTTGGCTGCCGAGAGTACATCCTGTAAATAAAATCAGGGTACCAGCCCCTTTTTGTTGAATATCATAGTTTTCGGGGCCAACCTCATTTACACACATCTGGGACAATATAATTCAACCCACTCCTTAGGCACGCTTTATTAACAAAATGGGTCCCCAAAAAAGGCGCTCAAACATACCCCTTTGTTTTTGTTGCGCAGGCACGGCTATCCTAGATTTTTCGAAGGCTGGTGTTCAAAGCACCGTCTGGCAGCTAGACTGCATAGCATGAGAATGTCATGTTGACTACACAAAAAGAACTGGCAAAAACAAGCATGTCCTTGAGTAGCTTTGCCATGTATTCAGCTTCTGGAAACGGGTGAATGCGCCAAAGCCATCAAAGGGAGAAAGCTCTGCGAACTGACTGTGTGTGGTTCCCATAAGCAATGATGTTCAAACACCACAACGAATCGATAAACCTAGGTGTCCCAAAGAGTCTGGTTAACAAATCATTCGCGCGAGCGCTTCTTCAAGAAAGCTCCCCCTCGCCCTCAGGCGGGGGGAGTTTCCTTGAAGCGTGGGCTATCCTGCGTCTGGCTACTAGTAGCTTCCAAGTAGCTAGGAGCGAACGAGTTTGCACCTTACTTAATCAAGTAGGCGCCTACTTACTTGAGTAATGAGGCAATGCCACGGGCTAAAAAACCTGAGAAGGGAAGGGGCGAAAGCCAGCCTCCGCAAGAAGACATCAATCTGGTCATGGGGGGCGAATGCGGGAGCGCATTGGAAGCGCTGTGAGGCACAGGTCGGGGCCGATATGACAGGCTCTCAGTCACAGGTGATGGGGGTGGGGTGCCCTTTTCTTTTGGTAAAGAATAGAGGCACCCCTAAGTAATTGAGGGGCGCTTGTCTGCGGCTTGCTTCTCGTGTCTTGTAGATGGACTCATAGACCTGACGCGCTGCTAAGAGTGGATCGTGTTGTTATGGGGGAAGTCGACATGGCGGTGATGTCTACTGCTGTTGGAAATAGAAAGCAGAAGATATAGGTTGAAGGGGGCGCCCTTTTTCCTTTGGCTCAAAGGCGTTTTCAAGCTGGAAAAGTGTGCCCCTAAGGAATTGACGGGCGCTTGCATGCTGCTGGCTACTGCTTGCTTGTCACAGACTTGCATTCTGTTCCCATCCTCAACAGACAACATCCTGCCTAACGTCCCCCTCCACTCTTATTGACCGCGAGAAAGTACATCTCACTTTCCTGCTGCATTTCCGACCTCTTTTCCTGTGACGTTGTCCCCTTCCCTCTCCTATCCTCTAGAGGTCACGTTCTCTCCAAAGCGCTGAGCGACGCACTTCTCGCTTCCCTGGTGAGCTCCCCACCTCTTTTCCTATCACATCCTCCCCCGCTATGCCTATCCTCCACATGAACTCCCACCCCATATGGGCTGCCGCTTTGTGTCCGTTGAACAGGCCTCTTCACCATCAAAAAAGGGCGGGCACCCCCAAGCAACTCAAAGTTTGCCCACTTCATTCGTCCCTCTTTTCCTATCACGTCCTCCTCCGCTATGCCTGTCTTCCACATGAGCTCTCACCCGTATGGGGTGCCGCTTTGCGTCTGGTTACTAGGTGTCTTCACTATTAAACAGAGCACTCCCAAGCAACTCACAGCTTGCCCACTGCATTCTGTTCCCTCTCCTGCCCTCAGCGGGTCACATGGTTTCTTGCAACCCCTTCACTCACATTAGCCGCAAGAAACAGGGTGTTGAGAGACGCACATCTCCCTTTCCTGAAGGAGTTCCAAACACTTTTTACGTCCCGTTGTCCCCCCTTTGCTGTCCTCGACATGAACTCCCACCCCTGGTGGAAGACTGTTTAATTGGCCTCCTGAGCCCCTCATCATGCTAATGCTAATGATGCACTCATACATGTTCACTCCTTTGCGGACGCCCTCTTCTTGTCGCTCTCCCCCACCAGACTCTGGGTTCACCCTACGAGTTTGTTCCCCTATGCGACCACCCCCCACACACACCCTAATGCTCACTTCGTTCGCCCATTGACAACTCCAGCCTAGCCTATCGGGTCTGGCTTTCGTAATAAAGAAAAGAAGAAGAACAAGTACGTGAAGTCACCCTTGGTAAAAATGCAACTAAGTGGCACTTATGAGGAGAGTGGCCGAAGGTGGAAATGGCAATTGCCGCTTGCTCCTGCACACCACTGGCATGTCACACATGTCATGTGGTCCAACCACGGGCCGAGATAGTTGAACCAAAACGCAAAAAAATAGAAAAGTGTTCTAGTGACTCGAATCGTGCCTACCAACAACGCCGACCGGAATCCAGGATGTGTTGAGCCCGGAATCCTGAAAATCTGGTTCTCCTGGGAAGAGCAGCAGATGGGTCAATGGCATGTTGATAGAGATCAAGTTCTGCAGTTCCTTTCAACATGCTGCTTTAAAGTAATTCTGCTTCCAATCATGTTACTGAATGTCTTGAGAAAGACTAGTGTTGTAGCTTGCTGCTTAGCCACGAGGCCCAAGTGAACATGTTTGTCAAGCAACAGCAGGCAGTAAAGCATTCGTTATTGGCATGAGTTAAACTCCTACACTCAGTGACTCCGCAAAGCACCAAGTCGTCAGGTGAATTTGAGCTTGAGACCGGAGAGTTCTTTGGAACCAATTCGGCGATCTTATCCTGAAAACTGGAGCGGATGTCAGGTTCTCTCATATGCTGTCATTCGTCTCTCTTCTATCAAGTAGGACCCAAACTCTCTGCTGATTCCTCCCTTCGAAACTTGTGTGGCCCAACACTGATGGATCCCTAAGACCCAAGTGGTAGATGGACAACTGATCAAAAACTCGCAGGAACTAGGCCATGTCTGGATACACTCGAATTCATGTTAGATGTTATTGGAAACACTCAATGCTCAATGCCGGCCAAGCGCCTGCACGCTTTGCACAAGGGCACGTACAGTGAGATCTTTTTCTTCAACGGCAGAGTCCTCTCTGGAACAATTTGAGCAGGTCATGCAATGCAGACGTTTTGCCATTGGTCACGATTCGATACGATTCGTCATTCACAGGTTCCCACGTTGCTCTTATTGCCATGTCCGACCCAAACCAATTGCGTTCCCCAGTATCCAGGTTGAAAAAGTGATCAATCTAGCACGTGTGACAAATTTCCACACGAATCGAAAAGAAACGCATCAAATGACGCACTTCCTCAACCGGGCGCTCTTTTTCCTGCAAGCATCCGAACAACTCGCCTCACAGCTCCGGGTGCACCTTAGGAGAATCGTTGCACTCAGCAGGACATACCAACCTAGCTGGATCAAACAAAAATGGAACAAATGGACTGGGAAAAATCTCCACCAAGTTCTTACTCTATGGGTTTCGGTGGTACACTATTTGTAACTCACACGGATCCATCTGCGCTCATTTTGACCTGCTCCACTACATCCAGGATGAAAGTCGTCAAGTCCTGCCCTCTCAACTCAGCATCGGCTGTTCAATTTGGACAAAGTCTTTTAACTTCGAGTCCTGGTGGCAGGAAAGCCAGGAGAAAAATGAATAATGATGAAGGAAAATAAAGATAAATAAAGGCACATATATATATATATATGTATAATATGTATATATATATATATATATGTTTGTGTGGTACATTTGGGAGAAAGGAACTTCCAGCCGAATGGCTTGCAAACACATGCTGAAAAGCGACCTGATGTTTCTGTACTTGGTCACGGGTGACTGTCAGTCTCTCCCTAGATCTCCTGGTCGTTGGTCGGGTATAAACTCACGCTGGAGTCTGGATCATCTGGGCATCTGGGGAAATGTTTCCCAGGCTTGTTGGCATCTTTGCCTCGCCCAACATGCAGCAAAACATCGACCAGTCATAAGCTGCTCGACAGCCCAGGCCTTTGTAGCACATCCGGATGCATGTCCTTCTGCAGGTGTCACTGGTCGGCTCCCCTTCAATCCCATCGAAGCTCTTCTTGATACCTCAGCAAACAGTTTGCTGTCCGGCTAATTACTTTCGTCCAAGCGATTCATGTGATGTTGAGCTTTGCACTGATGACTGAACAACAATATACCTATATCCAAGCTCTGCGCGACCAAATTCCTATTATCCAATACCGGCCGCATCCACATGCACCCACTACTGCCTAGTGCAGATAAGACGCAGCACTCGTGGCACGCATCTACAGTGCGCTTCTCACAGCATCGTTGCTCCTTTCAATGAGCTCAAAGTGTGCACTGCAAACCCAGGTAACCCAGGTTTCGTTTCCGGTGGAGGGGCAACGAGTGGCTGGTGCAGTTCAATAGGACATCTTCCGGTATTGTGATCTGGAAGTTGCCATTCCAGGTGAGCCTCCCAGAGAAATAATATCACAAAACTTCGAACCTTTGGAGCTCAGTTTTTCCTTCGTACCTGCACAAACGGTCCACCAGTCCACCTGTATTCATCAACTCTTGAGATCGCATAAAAGGCTCGTGGCTGACCTGTCAAAGGGATCAAATTAATCCCCTCGCCCTGGACATCTTCTGCCATGGCTCTCCCGCTGCGAGGACGTGCCCGCATACCTCGGAGCATGGGAATCACGCAGCAACAGGGGCAACTGCTCAGGCATCTTGTTACTAGTAGCTTCTTGCTACTAGTAGTAAGGCACTTGTTACTAGTAGCGATGCACTTGTTACTAATAGCTTCTTGTTACTAGTAGCTTCTTGCTACTAGTAGTACAGTAATGCCCTTGTTGCTAGTAGCTTCTCGCTATTGATGCGCCACTTTGCATCACTTTGTCACCTCATACATTTGGCCGGCCTTGTTCTGCTTGAAGGGATGGCCATGCGGATCCAGCGGCCCCTGTCGTGGAGTCTATGTTCAATGTTGGGACTAACATGGATGTGATGATATGTTTTCATTATCCACATCTGAGGTCTCTCAAGTGTCCAGCATCGGCCTCAGTGGTCTCAGCACCAGTGGAAGGTCCTTGGTGGTTCGCATGGACCAATTCCTTCGAACCCAAGTCACACAACTATGTGCTTGAGATTTACCCCCAGCGCTGGCGACCTCTCTTGGTAAAGTCCAATGCTGCCAAACGTACTAAAGTGGTTTGTGGCAAGATCGGTTATGTATGTAGTACGTTTTCTGGCCTGATGCCTGATGCTGTTTCTCACGCGGGGCCTGTCTCAGGATGGTTTTCAATCATCGCTTCAGATTCGGTTGACAAAGGTCTTTCCACACCAATCAGGCATGCGTGTCTAGCAACTCAGGGCACCTCAATCTGGTGTGGTTTCGTGTGCGATCAGTGGGCTTATACCCTGTCACTTTGCTCTGTGTCCCGTAGGCATTGGTCTGCAAACATGCGGTAGAGCTAGAGGCAAATGTTTGTGATATGCACCGTGCCAAATACATACAGCCACGGTCTTGGAATCAGCCTATGCCAGCAGAAATGAATGAGGCGATGAATTGGACAAAAACTTTGATATCAACGACTCAATGACATTATCCAGGTCGACTCCATTCTGACGCATACACCCACACAAGAAAGACCTTGCATAGTCAAAAAACCTATAGAAATCCCATGTAAACACTACACCATGACGGGGGTCCTGACATAGTCCTTGCAAAAAATGTGTTTCCCAATGTAAACGCATTGATATGCATCGATTCTCACAACTTGTTTGTTTACCTCAAAACACTGGTGCCTACAGAGTTCCTTTTGGTGAGAGCATATATGGCCACATTATATCAACTTGCATTCTTGGAAATTGTAATATCAAATGTAATCGCATCGATGGTCTTTAACTATTTCAACGTGATGTTGATAGAAAAGTGTCTGGGATTGACATCAGTCTAGGCATTGAACAAATCCTGTGTGCTGACAGCTGGTGGCGGAAGCCATTTGGAGTTGCGCATTGTGACGGCAGTGCAAGCTTCTTGGTACTTTCGTGGGCACAAAAGCTGCGATTGGGAAGAGGTTTTTGTCTCTTGGTGCCACACCTTGAAGATCAATTGATCTGACAACCCTTTTTCAACCAGTCCTTCAGGCAAATTCCGAAATATCCAAGGTGCCGTTTTCATCTTGGGGGATCGGTGCATCCAGAAACGATGCAAACAGCAAACGGCCGCCTCGTCCTTAGAACAGTGGGTTCTTCTTGGCGCTTTCAAGTTTCATGATGTCTCCAACGTGGCGTGTCTCAGTGTGCCACGTTCTTCAGCAAAGAAGGTGCCCAACACATGTGCCCTAGTAGGTCTCCTGGCACGAGGGCATTGTCTCATCGTCACTTCAAATGGTCTCACTGCCTAACAAGCACCGGATCGCCGCTCCAGGTTGAACTGGCCTTAGAAGCCATTGCTTTGGGGGTTCCCCTTTCAGTCTTAGAATAGCTTCACCTTAGAATTTGGGGATAGTGAATGAAACTGAAATGTCTAAGCCACTTTGTGCGTTACAAGGTTTGGTCGTCTGACTCACAAGACTTGGTCTCTTTGATTTGGTCTAAGACACGCGAGGACGGTAGATCAGCTCATCGGCATGACAGCGCATGGCAAAGAGATGAAATCCACATCACATGACTCAGGAATAGATGAAATCGAGAATTTGTTCCGCTCTTAGGTTGGAGGCCATCGCAAGCAAGTTGGAGGCCATCGCTAGGAGGCTAGAGGCCATCGCTAGTAGGTTGAAGGCCATCGCTCTTGGGTTGGAGGCCATCGCTCTTAAGCGGACGCCATCAAGAGAGAAGTCTCACCAAATGATAGACAGTAGTCAACTCATTGACTCAACCCCTCTGTTGCTTCGGTTGCACGGGCTGAGACAGGCATTGCAAGTTTATAGAGACATATAAATATAATATATATATATATAGAGATCATGCATGATGCTTGCGTCCTTGCTCCTGGTAGCGATGTCCGTTGTTACTAGTAGCTTCTTGTTACTAGTACTGCCAGGAGCTACTAGTAGCGTCTTCCGTTCGTAGCAATTCCCTTTGATTCCCTTTGTTCCTATGAAAGCTTGGGCCAAAGGGCCAAACTGAGAAAAAGTCTGAAGACTCGCTTTGAATTGGCATCGTTTCCGAAGCTAAATCCTGCCTGTCGTGTTTTCTGCATCAGCGGGCTTCTTGGTAAGCTTTGCCCAAGCTACCCTGCTGAAACAACGATATTGATTGCAAGCTACCCTGCTCAAATGCCACAATGTTCATGGCTCAGGTGAAGGTCATAGGTTTTGGCACCGCGTCTAATCCTGCAAAAAGATGAAAGGAACATGATCCTTCATGATCCTTCATGATCTTTCCAGCTTTGGTGGAGGGCATGTTGATGTGCTTTTGTCCATCTGCCAACCAATCGGTTTCCTTATTCCAGCATACTATATGAGTGTTGCACTTATCCTGCAGAAATCGGGGTAGTCTTATCGGAAACAGTGGGCGAAGCATCACCCTGGCCTCGCCAGCTTCTTGGGATTCGGCTGCTTTGGCCACCTCCTTCTCTGGGTCAAGCTTCTCATAGCCTTGGTGCGATGAAAGCTTAGGGCCTCACCGACGACCAATTGGCCGCCAAGGAGCTCTCCCACACGCTGTACCTTGCAAGGTCAAACCAACAAGCATCAAAGGCCACCAAGAAGTGCCAAGCTACGAAAAGCTTGAAAACTTTGCCGCTGTCCTATAGCCTCCCAATCATCCCATATCCTGTTAGAGAATCACTCTATTTGGCTACAAGCACCGGCAGCACATCTGCTGGTGGTGAGAAGACTTGGAAGATCAACAAAGGAACAACACAGACCTTGCAACACAGACTTTGCGCGCAAGACCTCTGAAGGATCTGTCCTTGCGCCCACCCCACGGGCGACAAAGGAAAACCGTGACATATCCAATCAAAAGATTGACCAACCCGTCCTGTACATTGCTCGTCCTTGCACCCAATCAGAAGTCAGCATCGAGTGTGAATGCTGTCAAAGATTCTTCTTTGCCTGCCATAACTCCTGCTTTCTGGTACTCACCCACGCGCTTCTCAAAGAAGTTGGTCTTGCCCTGCAGAGAGATCAACTCCATCCAATCAAATGGATTTGCTGAGCCGAAGATCTTGCTGTGGCCAAGGGCCGTGAGCAAACGATCAGCCACGAACTCGATGTACTGTGTCATTAAATCCTTGTTCATGCCAACGAGATCGCAAGATAGCGCTCCACAGATGAACTTCCGCTCCACATCAACGGCACCCCGTATGATGTCATGCACGACCTCCTCCGGCAGCTTGTGCTGCAGCATGCCGTACAACAAACAGGCAAAGTCGG